TTGTCAGAGAAGAAAAACACAAACATTTCCCACTAAAATGAGTGGTTAAAACTACACTGTCAAAGGCACAAAGATCTAGAAAAACAAGGCAATCTTGTTGAGTTCCAACTCTCACAGGTTTCACTATATTTTAGGAAAATGGAAACTTGTTATCTCTTAATTCTGTGAAATAAATGATGTTATTTATTTTAAAAGAAGCACAGTTTAAAAGAGATTTCCAAATTCACATATTAGATGGCTTTGGAATCTTCCCTTTCTTTCATCTTACTCAGATTATATTAAACTAATGTGAATGATTTCAAAATTTAACAGAAATTCTTAGAGTATTGAAGGCAGAATGTGATTATTTCTATGCAGGTTTCTTTTTGTTGTTTTTCACTCTATTTAATGGTATCAAATAGTCCTAATAAGCCTGAAGTAATTATTATTTGAAACCGTGTGACTACAGTAATGGTTCTCAACAAGTTTGGCCAACCTGCCCTTCCCCTTCACTAAACACTTCGAAACATCTGGAGGCATGTTTGGTTGTCACTAGTTATGGGAGGAGAAGGTTGCACCTGGCATCTAGTGGGTCAAAGTCAAGGACACTACTACACATCCTATAATACAGTACACAGAATGGCCTTAACAAAGAGTTCTCCAGCCTCGAATGTCAATAGAGTTGAGGCTGAGAAACTCTGATCTAAAGGAAATCTAATTTCTCTCATGAATATGAGGCAGTGAGTCCATGAAAGTAATAAGGGATGAAGTAAAAAGTATAACTTCAAGAATGAAATAGGAGTGTTGACTCTTGTGTTTATCCTGGCTCTAGCATTTCCACCCAACTCTCTCCTTGTTTCCTTTGCATTTTCCTAGTGATGCTCTGATATGGAGAACCTGGCTCTGGCCCAACTGCAAAAAGACTGCTCCTCTGATGGACGTAATTTCTTTTTAGTTTGCTTCCTTCTAACATACTTCTCTGCTGTGATTCAGGAAGTTTCCCAACTGTTCTTAAAGTCGTAAGTGTCTTCATGTCCACCATTTTCCTTTCTCCTCCAAAGCATGGCATGCTTCCAAAACCCTGAGCATCTTGTTATATATCTCCAACTAAGAAGGAAGTGCTCCTTTTCCTCCCAGATTCATCAGCATCTTTCTGAACTTCTCTAAAACCCCAGATTGTACTCTCTCTCAATTGAAGGAGATAATAGATAATTGCATTATCTATAAGGGTCCCAGTATTCTTCTAAACCAGGAGCCATATTCCTGAGTCCCAGACAACCATCTTACACTAGGGAGAGCTCTACTTGTCTCCCTTAGAATGCTGCCATTATTCCTGATTGAACTGATCTAGTGGGCTGACCTGATCTACAGAGCACTGACTTCCATACTCTGTTCGGAAAGTATAGCAATCTTCTCAAGCCTCAACCCTGGCTCTGTCCCTGGCCACCTTCTTCTAATTCTCCTGAGGATCTGAGGTGTTGGTCAGCTTTCTAATATCCTTTATAGTCTAGTGACTATCAGGAGAATGTGGCCAGTTACCATCTGTTGCCAGTATATCATGGTTTCATTGAGCTAGAAATCTTTCAGGGCAAATAGGTGTTTGTTTTCTTTTTTAGTTATCTGTTATTCTCTTGAACAGGAGATCCAAGAATTCTGATCCAC